AAAATGCTGAACAATACATAAAGCACTAAGGTAGCGCTAAAATCTGCGTGTTTCACACTAAACAGAATGAATCATTTTTATTATATGGAATTCTAATGGATATTTTCGAATAATATCGATCTATTTCTGCATTAGCTAATAGCAATGCTAAAGTCCTTCTGAAGCAATGCCCAATATGTTCTATGGTGTTTTCTATAGTCTCGACCTAAAATTTAAAAGACTGTATATAATCTGTATATAACAGATTTTTTAATACGATAGGTTTTTTTAACAAGTATAGTTATTTCCCACAGGCGATTAAAAATTGTGTACGCACCTCGTTCCGTAAATATTTTTGTGGTCTCTAACGCTTGAGAAACCTTGGCGTCGCCGCAATTACATTTTCGACCACAAAAATTAATTATAGATGGGTATAGTAGGATTTCAGCTGAGTTAACTAAATATATAATCTACTACTTCAGTGTCACTTAACACCAAAGAAAATTCGTCGCTGTATGTGTCTTAAAGGAAACTGATGATGGTACTAAAATTTCTCAAATAGAACTTACACCGGAAACTGAAACGTGCAAAATTTTATTGCAGACTTTTTAAGGCCAGCAGATTCACTTCCTCCTTCGCGAAACATGTAGCGAACGTCCGCCTAAAATTATGACCAGTGTAGACCGTAGACTTTGTGAAAGTTCTTAGAATCCCTATTTTTACTTCCCGAATGGCCAATTAATGTTCTCTGGACATTTTACAATGTGAAAAAGTGGGTCATTCCTTTCCGCCTGTCTGTCCGTCCGTCCGAAACTGTCTGAATCTTAAGACTATCGTGCAGATGGTAAAACTTTAACAAAAATTTGCTGACGACTCAAGTAAATCCTATTCAGACTATAAAAACAATATGTTTGTCTAGCCTAATCAGTCGACCATGATTTTCACCTTATATGTGAATGTTTTTGGGAAAAAAATCAAACTTACTGCAAACTATAAAAATTGGTGGAAGGTTATTTCGACGGGACTTCCCTCGCCCTTGAAGTATAGTCTAACAAATTACGTGTTTTCGAAAAAATATAAAATTTTATTTTCGGAACTTTTATAATTATGTGATAACCTCTATTTATTGCCTTTCTGTTTTAATATGTGTAGACTTCTTTTCACAACATGAAAATAAACATTCCTTACAAAAATGTACTATTTTAACCATGTTTTAAGTTTCTTGTTGTAAAAAGATGGCTATGTGTATTAAAAAAATGGAAAAATATAAGCCCCGCCCAGCCGCCCTATCTCAATTCTGATTATTTTTTTATTAAGTCGAGCGGCGAAGCTTAATTGTAAAATCCTTATTTTTCTACGAGAAATTACCATGTGAAATATATTCTTAAATAATCGTGTTATACAAAGAAAACTAAATGTATTAATTAAAAAAGAAAACCGAAAAAGAAGCGTCTCAATCTCAATCGTCGTGAATTTTTCATTCGTTGTTAGACCAAGGGGCGGAGCGTAATTACAAAATGGATATTTCCCTATACAAACTTACCATTTGAACATGTCTTAAGTTTCTTGTTGTCGAAATAAGTCAACACATATTAAGAAAATAAGGCAAAATGTGGACCCGCCCACCCGCCGTACCTCAATTGTGATGATTTTTTTTTATTCGTTGTGAACCAAGAAGGTGGAGCTAAACTGCAAAATCCTTACTTCTTTACGAAAAAATAAAAACATGTTTTTGACTATCGTGTTGTTCAAAGACTACTACGTATATTAAGAAAAAAAATAAAGCCAAAGATAAGGCTCCCCCCATGTCAATTCTCAATTGTGATGAATTTTTCATTTGTTGTCAGATCAAGGGGCGGAGTTTAATTGCAAGATCCATATTTGTCTACAAGAATTTACCATTTTAAACAAGTTTCGAAAAGGCCACTACGTATATTAAGAAAAAGGCAAAATACAAGCCCCGCCCACCCGCCCTATCTCAATTGTGGCGATTGTTTTTTATTCGTCGAGAGCCAAAGGAGGGGAATTTAATTGCAAAATCCTTGTTATTTCTCTACAAGAAATTACCCTGTAAGAATTTATTGAAAGAATCCTATGTATATTAAGAAAAAATTAAAGCCAAAGATTAAGCCCCACCCATACCTGCCCTGATCTAAATAGTAATGAAGTTTTCATTCGCTGTCAGACCTGGGGGTGGAACCTAATTGCAAAATCCTTACAGAAATTTACAATTTTAAATGTGTTTTAAGTTTCTATGAATAAAAAGAATCATCACAATTAAGATGGGTGAGTGGGCGAGTTTTTTTTTTTTTTCTTAATATACATAGTATTTTTTTTACAACACGATACTTAAAAACTTGTTTTTAATTTCTTGTAAAGAAATACGCTTACAATTAAGCTCCGCCCGATTGATTTACGGCGAATAAAAAAAATATCACAATTGAGATAGGGCGGGTGGGCGGGCTTACATTTTGTCTTTTTGTCTTAATATGTGTAGACTTCTTTTCATAACATGAAATTTAAAATAGAAAAAAATTTTAAACGCCCCATAATTGCAAAATTTATATTTCCTTGCAAAAATGTACCATTTTAACCATGTTCCAAGTTTCTTATTGTGAAAAGATGCCCATGTATATTAAGAAAAAGAAAGGCAAAATATAAGCCCCGCCCACCCGCCCTATGTCAATTCTGACGATTTCTTTTATTCGTCGTATAAATTAAATCAAATACATATGAATAATGCTACTGGTAACAGTGTAAGAAACTAGATAACACCGTATGTATATGTTTTAACAACAACTATAAATGTCTAACACATCATTTTTTTATGACACTATTTTTTTTAGAGATTCTTATAGAACCTGCTTTTCGAAATTCATTAATGTATCACACTTTAATCACCCATATTTCGCCACTTCCTTTGATTAGAACCCATCATGTTACGAAAATACATTCTGTTAACTTGTTTATATTTGGTCTAGAGTGCACTTCTCGATCCATGATGGGAAACGAATTCACACTTGCTCCAAAACTATGAACACATTATAAAGCGTAAGGCTGTGCCTCTATTTCTAGTGAGTTTTCCTATTTGAAAATGTTCCGATCAATATTTCAGCAAGAACACGTATGTCAATTCCGACACGTGCAGTGTATTACTAATAATAAAACAATAAGGTGTACCATTATTGATTTGGTCAATAAAAAGTACAAATAACAGCAGTGACAGTCTAAGAAACAAAAAAGCCCAACTGATCATCGAACATTCGTAATCTTCGCGTTACAAGATCGAAATCAGACACTTTTAACAATAAGCTAACGAATGACCCAACTTCGCTTATACTAATATAAAAGGTTCCTATACAAATTCCATTTTTTTTTCGAAAATTTGGATGCCTGGAGGAAAACCTCAAGGCAGGCTCATAAATCATAAGTACAGGAGCATGTTATTTTATAAAAATTTTTAATGACTGAAAATTTTGGAAAGAGAGTTTTTATTTTAACATATAGGCCTTACCATGAAAAAAATGTCGAAGACTATTTCGACAGAACTTCCCTCACCCCTGCAGTACAATAAAACAAATACCTCTTTTTCGAAAAATTATGAAATTTGAAAAAACTTATAAAGTCAAAATAAAACATTTTGGGGAAAAATTGAGTTCTTAATTTCATCAGTAACATAAATTGACTCAGTTATTATTTTTTTTGAGTCATCCTGTATAAGTAATTCTAAAAACTGTAAGTGCTAATAAACCACAAGTATAGAGCTATAATATTTTGCATATTTCAGAGAGAATTTATTCGGCAAAATTTTGAGAAGATCTCAAGGGGAGGGGATGAACGAATTAATTTTGATTAATAATTTACCATGATTACGTTTGTAATATTTCGGTTTTGCAGTTAAATTACAAAATATTGTTATACAATTTTGAATTTTTTTCAAAAATCTTATTATCTAAGGTAAAACTCTAGACGCATTCATGCACCACAGGTGCAGAAGTACTTTATGTTGTAAAATTTTGAAAAATCACTATTGTAAATTTTGGAGATGACGTTATCCCGTTGGTAGTGGGGATAATTAGCCAAATGTTGGTTAGCATTTTACTATTTACAAGATACTCCTAATATATACACAAAATTTGACAACAATCGGTAAAGTAGTTTTGGAGATTATATATCTAACGAAAATCCGGACACACGGTAGACAAACAGACAGACAGAGACAAACGGAAGTGGGAAACTTATTTTTTTAGTACTCTAGGGGTCATGAAAGGTCGAGAAAACATAAAAGTCGGAAGTCGGTCGATGGACTCGATTACAATACTTCCTTAACTTACGTTCGGGAAATAATAACATTTAGAAAACTATATTTACTTTCCGAGGGTATGCTAAACAAGTATTGTAATAGAGCGCAGGCGACTGGCCACTTTTATATTTTCTCAACGTTTCATAACCTCTAGAATACGAAAACATAGATCTCTCGTTTCCGTCTGTCTGTCCGCAGTTTGTCGTTTGTCCGTGTCTATGTTGATTTTTATTGGACAGATAATCTTCTAAACTACCGGACCGATTGTTGTCAAATGTTGTATGTATATAATGAAGGAATATTGTGTAGATGACCAATGTTATTTAAATTTTGTAGTAACGTACTCCTCCATTTGCAATTTATGAACCTGTGTTGAGTTTTTACCCTGATCATTTTTCAAAGCTGTACTTGTTCAAGTGAACTTTAGAGGTGAGGGAAGTTCAAATTTGAAGTAGAAAAGTCGTGTTATTTCAGTAGTATTCTTATATCTTCATTAATAAAAATTTTTCGGGAAGGTCCTTCGATTAAAAGTCGAGTCATATTCTGTTACTTTAAATTTGTTGTTTTTTTTAACTATCTGCATAATAGTAAACACTGAAAGAGTCAACAAAATCATTGCTATAAATAACGGACTCGATACGGAACTCTGAGGAACACCAGAGTACTACCTAAACTTAATTATCGAAGGATCCGTATTCAAATAATATTTTTGTTCCAGGCAGAAGGCCCCCCAGTCCAGATGGAGCCCGTGGACCTCAGCGTGAAGACGCCCGTGGTCCTCCAGGTGCCCAAATACCCGCCCCAGCGGTTGCGCAACCCGGCGCCTCCGAACAAGCCGCCACCAGGTGAGTGCCCCGCCCTCTGCCATCTCTCCGCACTAGTTCAAAAATTGGCGCCATTGTATGCAAATGACAGGCGTGCAGTCTTCCGCTCTTTATCATTACTCATTGTGCGATCGTATGTAATAAGCCGTGTCAAATTCGTTGACAAAGACATACACTTATGTAAATGCCGCGTTTAAATTGCAAATCGGCCGGCTGCGGCCGTGTCGCCATCTATACACGAAACGAGGAGACGAAACGGGACTCCCACACACGCACACGACGAGCCGTTACTGCTCACGTCCTCATATAATAGATGATGTTGGTAAAATTGATGTGTTGAGAATCTTCAAGTCGTGCTTGCTTTATCGGGGAGTTACAAGATGCACGGCCCACTTAGATCGCGACGAGACGAAGACGGTGCCGGACTGTCAATGGCTGTCACGTTTGTGGCCGATTTTGGTTTCCGGGAGGGTTTACCTCGATAGAGTCGATGGTTGTTGCACTTACGAAGAAATTGATTTTGACGCGTTTTCCAAAAATTCAGTGGATAACTGTTTGATTAATCAAGTGGTGGTCAAAATACTCTTTTGCATTGTCTGTATGAGCCGTAGCACCATCTTGTTGAAGGTATTCTCGCTGCAGCTCTACATTAGTTGGTTTATGAATTGTTCTAGGATCACCTACCAATATCGATCCAAATTTATGGTTGTTTTGAAAAATATGGGGTTTTTATTCTAAATTCTTCGACACAAGGCTGTGCTGAGTGTTGCCATTCACCAACAGTGATGTAATTAAGCATTCATTATTCGGGTCAAACTCATCCTACTTTTAAAATAGGCCAAACAATAGTTATTTACCAATCATGCGGAAAAGTTTCATAGGAGGAAGACTGCCTCATCAAAGAACTTTTTTTTTCTTAGCTTTTTCAAGTTATTGGCTTCTATGTTTTCTGTAAACTCAGTGCTATTAAAATACACACTGCGATTATAGCATTCGGATGTGTTAATAAAAGTTGTGGATAGCATTCCTAAGGATTAGATAACTTATCACGAACATCTTTATTAAATTATTCATTAGTGAGTTGACAGTGCGTTTCAGGAAGAATAAATACGTTTAAGAAAATTTCAGTGAAAGCGGAAGCCGTTCTCATTGCTTCATTGGGTCAGTGATGGGATAATAAAATCAGTTATAGTCCAACCATACTTATAATAGAGTACTTAGAATTCGAAGTCGTTATTGATTTTAACAAATCTTTATTACTTCTCAATAGTTATAGCTGTAAAAGCTGCAAGCTGAATTATTGAACTGTGATGGACGCTTCTGCAGTTGCACGTATGTCCTTATATTTGATATCTTTCTCTAATCCAGATAAAACCGGCAGTCTTTAAAAATACTGTCTTTCAATTGAAGGAGTTTGTACTAAGCGTCGACAAACAGCCGATATGAAATCGCGTGTTAGACAAAGCCTGACAATTTGTAGTTAAGTCATATATTTAACATCTCTCAGATGAACTCTGTAGCGTCATCAATGAAAGCCTTTCAGGATATTTTATCAAATTGTAAAAGTAAAATATCTCCTTGTAATTTAGGAGTTTATCGAAAGATATTCTTGTAACCTTGCATTAATGAATCTCCACAGTAAAATCTCTAGAAGTCCAAACACTGTTCACAGATTCCAAAATAACCTACATAACTTGGAAAACCCACTTGACTTACTTGCAAGATGTTTGTTTAAACGAAACAACATAGAATAAGCTCTAGGCTCAGGAAGGTCTAGTTTCAAAATATGCTTGTTGTTTGTTATATACTTATCTAATATCATCTACATATGTTGCAGGGGACACCTATCCCTGTGAATCATGTTTCATGGGTATTTTATTAAAACATTTTGAAAAGTGGAGGTACATAACGACAAATAACTTCCCATAATCATTTCAGAACATCTTCTAAGTAACAAACAAGATCTACTCAAGAGATATCAGACAGAAAACCATGCAGCTCTGTTGAGATTAGGTGATGGTTGACTTAACCTGACCCTAATCTCATCTGACCTTTTTATCAGAAGGAGACAAAATACCTTGGGTATCTCCAGGAACCCGTGGTCCATAATTGTCTCCATGAACTCTCTGCTTCACCAAAACTTATTTCGCATTGCTTTCCTTCTTTCTCCAATGTCATGCAATGTAGCAAAGTTTATTCCAGTCTATCTTGCTTTTGGCAGAACATGCAGGTATCTGCTTCTATCTACCTTATCGATTTGTGTTAGGTACCTACTGATCAAAAAGACCGTGTCCGGTTTGTAACTAGCTGTGTTGTGAAGAAATTTACCTCCCCGTATTTTCTTTGTTTCCATGTTCTTATCTCTTTTATTAACCTTCTTGTCAAGTTCTTCTACCCGTTGTTTCCGATCTGTACTGTCATATTTTTGTTTCTTCTTCGTCTAATTCGTTTCCTATGTCATTTCCTGTTCTTTATCCGTGGTTGTGTATAAGTATTTATATAGTGGGGCTGCTAGCTCAGTTTGACCTCATGTGACCTGAGCTAGGAGCCCCACTATTTTTTATCGAAAATTTGTCATCGCCTGGTGCTCCGTCGACCTGACTCCGGGAACGGTCGTGTTTTGCGCAGACTCGATTTCTATCCCCCATCTCTTTTGCGGTTGTGCATTCAATTGTTTAACTGTTTGTAAAGTTGAAATGCTGTCTTTTATTTGTGATTTGAATAAATTGTCACACTTGCAAGCTTTTGTGGTTGCAAAAATCTTAGAAGAGAAAAAAAGACTTTTAATAAAAAATTTTAGTAAAAATCCCACAGAATACGGTGATAACGAAAGTCAGGTGTGGGGTTCGAACCCACGCTCCTTTCGAGAGTTATATAAATGTCGATTTGCTCGTCCGTTATTTATTTAGTATTGTGCATTCAATTGTTTTACTGTTTGTAAAGCTAAAATGTTGTCTTTCATTTCTGACTTGAATAAAGAGTCACACTTGCAAGCTTTTGTGAGTGCAAAAATCTTTAAAGAGAATAAAAGACTTTTAATACAAAGCTTTAGTAAAAATCCCGCAAAATGCGGTGAAAAAAAAATGTCAGGTGTGGGATTCGAACCCACGCTCCTTTTCGAGAATCAGAGCTTAAATCTAACGTCTTACATCGCTCGGCCAACCTGCCCACACTTATTTATAAATCTGTACTTTTCTACTAAGTTATATGAGGGGATAGTCGGGTTAGAACTCGAATCTGCCCAAAACAGGACCGTGCCCGTTCGATAAGAAGTAGTCGGGCTGTTAGCCCAGGTCAAATGAGGGCAGCCCCACTATATAACTACTACTATAATCTTTTTTCTCATTTAGGTGAGTTGCTATTTTCAGAGGTCCATGCCTATATGTATTCCAAACTGTTGTATGCTGTTCTTTGATGCAATATGAGGTACTTTCGGGTCCATTTTTTTTATTTTTATAAATCCGTACTCTGTGCTAGAATAGGACTACTTCAGTTTTCTTTTTTGGCCAACGGTAGCTTTATTTCTTTTTTTAGCTTATCTTTTACTATTCTAAAGGACTGAATTGATTTCTCCTTGAGTTCTTCCTGAGTTTTCGTCAATACTATGATGGATGATGGATCGGCAGCAAAGGCTATCAAATGTGTTGTCTGGAACATTTTGACGTCAAGAAGTCCGTCGTTCATATAGTTTTATAGAGTAGGCCCCAGGGCAGAACCTTGTGGCACTCCGCAAGTCAGTTCTATCCGGTCCTTTAAATAGCTTTGTATTAACTTGGTTAGGTATAGTTCCACTGTTTTCACTTCTAGAGTACCATAAATATGTAGGTTCAGCTTGTGGAATTAAAACCGTTTCTAAAATCTATGATCTGTGGATTTGCCCTTTAATTTATTTTTTGGATTGACAATACGAGTTTCGCATACAACTTTGGTTTTTCCAATAGCAGATGAAGACTAATTTGAAAACGACCCCATCTGACTCTCTCAGATTCTCTCAGTCTCTGATCTGACCTGACATGACATGGCCCGACCTGACCTAACCTGACCTTTTAAAGGCACGCAATTGAGCGCTTTTCTCCTAATCAAATCAACTTTACATTTATGCAGTCAATTGAAGGTTTTTTAAAAATTAGTTTGAACGACTAACTTGTCCTGAACTGACTTTGTCCGGCCTTTTTTTCTGTGGAGAGATAACCTTTTGTTGGCACCCTCCCATTGGTGTTCAGTGGTGAGGATAGTGTGGGATGCCCTTCTATTCCGGATAGGTATACTCGCTAAAACCCCTCCTAATACTAGATACTCAGCGGTACCATTTTTCAATATTAGTTAGGCGGGAATGTTGACTCTACAGTATTTCATATATTTCATTTTCCTTAAACTCTCTGTTGTCCGTCTACATCGCAGATTTTCTTCTCTTTTTGGTATTCATCTCGCAATTTACGAATTTCCCCACCTGGTTCTATTTTTTTTTCGTTCACTAGCAGTTTATTTATCTTTTTTCTACTTTTAGCCCGATCTTCACTTTTCAAATCGCATGTTCGGCTGTATCTCTTGTATTCTGGCAACTTCGTCTCAGCTAACTTGGCCTGACCTGACGTTTTAAAAGCACGCCACGACGCTCAATCGAATATTGCTTAGAAGAGTTCTTAAAAGCAACCAGGACTACTTGTTATACATAAATCCTCACCTGACCTTATCCGACCTAAGCAAACATGACCTAACCTGACCTGATTGAACTCATTTATTTTTAATCAAATCTATTTTACATTCTTATAATAGTCAATTCAATATTTTTTAAAAGCTGATCTGACTAAACCTCTTGGTCTGACTTGATTTGGCCTAACCTGACTTAGTCTGATATGACTTGGCCTATCCTGTTTTGGCCTGGCCTGACTTGGTCTGACCTGGCAACAATGGCACAAAAATTCTCACTTGACCTAACCTGATCCAATCTGACTTCAACTGACTTGACCTTTTAAAGGCATGCGATTGTCAATAAACTTTTCATTCCTTTAACAATTCAA